GTCACGGCAGCGAGAGCAAACGCACTGCGTCTAAGTGGCCGAGCCTTGAAGCAGGTTTTCCGTGATCGACCCGTTAGTGCGCTCCCTCCGCCAGGTGCCTGGGGGCAGCTGCCGCCTGAGAACCAGTCACGTGTGGGGAACGACAGGCTGTTGGTTGGCAGTTCAGCACCGGTGCGTCCTGGCTCGTGGGAGCTTCTCGGGGTCCTCGGTCCTCCCTCCGGGGCGTCTCCCGCGTGTCTGTGTCACTGTCTGTGACTTCAGTGCTCATTTCTGTCCCCGGCCAGCACGCCTCTGCTCCTCCGTGTGTGTCCACGTGTGTCTCTGTCTCTCTCGTCGCGTCATCGGCTGTGCTGTGCTGAGGGGTGTGGTGGGAGTGAAACTCGATCAGCCTCCCCTACACTGTAGGGGGAGCCATCTCTGTAAGTGGGGGTGCTGTTTTGTACCCGGGGACCAGAGAGGCACCTCTCAGACTTGGTCATTTCCCTCAGAAAGACCTTTCATTTTACAGTATCTTCACACTCTGTCACTTCTTCATTTTCCTAAGAAAGACCTTTGAAGTCTTTACAAACATCTGCAGACTCCTGCCTCCCCCCGCCACACACACACACACACACACACACTAAAGGATGGGTGCAGAGTGCTGGATGCTCATTGGCTGGTCCATGAAGGTGGGGTAATTTATGTCTGGATTTAAGCAAGTAGTGGGGGAGCACAGCTTTGGGGGTGGAGGTATCTGCTGCTGCTTGATTGCCTATGGGCCATATTTGGGGTGAACATGATTTTGGGGTGACACACACTGGCTTTCTTCAGGCTCGTGAGGCAGTGAGGGTGAGGCTTGGGGTCTGGCCAGAAGTGTTTGTTCCCTCACAATCACTGCCCTTGTGTCTGAAATCAGGCCACTGAGGGGTGAGCAGCTGGAGTAGACGTGGAGTGGGGAAGTCATGGAGCAGAGGGTGGGGTTAAAACGACGCCCGGGCAGCCAGGGCTGTGCCCTGCGCCAAGTCTGTCTCTTCCACGTGACGTCCACCTGCCGGCTGAGCCCCGGCCACTTTGCCTTGAAAACGCCATTCCAGATGCTTCCATCCGGTGACGTCCCACCTGGTGGGGGCGGGTCTCAGAGGGATCCTGCCGACAGGGAGCAACACGAGTCCTGGGAGCGACTCGGAGCCGAGAGAAGGGGTTGCCGTCCGTGGCCTCTTACGTGGCTTTCAGGACGGTCTCTCCAGCTGCTTAACAGTCAGAGTAATAGGACACGTGGGAGAGGCCTCAACGTAATTAACAAACTTAGAAATGGTGACCCCTGGCCTTTATGTAAAACAAAATAACAGTCTTTACACTTTCACGTTGGAAACTTGCCTCATGAGTCACAAGTGGTTTCACTATGAAGAGTCAGTAAAGAAAACGTGGACACTTACAAGCATCCAGAATAATTGTTAAAATACGTCTTCATTGATTTTAGAGAAGAAAGAAGAGGGAGAGAAACCTCACTGATGAGAGAGAATCATGATCGGCTGCCTCCTGCACCCCCTACAGGGCATCAAGCCCACAACCCGGGCCTGTGCCCTGACCTGGAATCGACCTTTTGGTGCACAGCACGATGCTCAACCACTGAGCCACACTGGCCAGGGTTCTTGCATTTTGTTGAGTTTCATTTGCTCCTGGTCCCCTTGGGTCCCTGAGCCCATGGCCCTCCACTCCCCGCTGACGCTCTGAGCCTGTGGAGAGGAGCTTGTGTGGTTGCCCTGTCTCCTCGTTGTCCAGGTGGTTCCTCCACTGGGTGGTGCAGGCTGGAGGCAGAGCACCCCACCTGCTGGTGGAACCACAGCCCTGCAGCCCGAGTGCGCACAGTGGGGCTGCGGCTGCCATTCCATCTGATGCCTCCAGCCAGTTCCACCTGTTGTTGGCCCCCTGATGTCACTTTGGAAAATGTAGGGAGATGGCCGTCCACTCCCTCCAAACACGTGTATGTACATGGACGTGCACACGCTTAAACCCACTGCATGTACATGGATGTGCACACACTTAAACCCACTGTATGTGCATAGATGTGCACACGCTTAAACCCACTGTATGTGCATAGATGTGCACACGCTTAAACCCACTGCATGTACATGGACGTGCACACTCTTAAACCCACTGCATGTACATGGACTCGCACACGCTTAGACCCACTGTATGTACATGGATGCGCACACGCTTAAACCCACTGTATGTACATGGAGTGCACATGCTTAAACCCACTGTATGTACATGGATGCACACACGCTTAAACCCACGGTATGTACATGGACGTGCACACGCTTAAACCCACTGTATGTACATGGATGCGCACACGCTTAAACCCACTGTATGCACATGGACGCGCACACGCTTAAACCCGCTGTTACTCCGGGGTGCTCTGAGGGGGAATGCAGTCTCGGTGGCTTGTTTCCTGCAGGAACAAGAAGAACGTAGGTGAATGCACGTCAGTATCACAAGCGACAATAGAACAGCCAGCGCCTCTTGTGAATGGTCGTCACCACAACGACGGGCCAGTTTCCCACGAAAGTGGTGGCAGTTGCCTCGTTTCCTGAATGACCCCCCCCCCTGCCCCCAGGAGGTGGGGAGCTCCTAGGCTTAGATTCGACTTGATCGCATTTTTATGAAACTAACTAAGAAAACTCTAAGCCCCTAAGCCCCACGAGAAGCCCCGCTGGCAGTTTCCTTCTGCCCCTGCTCTGGCACCTGCATCCTGGGACAGGGTGACTGAGGCGGGAAGAGGGGCTGCTGTGAAGTCATCGTTACCGAATGGGGCACCCACGGAAGGAAGAGAGAACTGGGCGTAGTTTCCCACAGGAACAGAGAACAGCCAGTGCCATCCAATAGCCTCCCTCTGCACTCCTGCCGGCACCTCCCGGGAGCCCAGGGCTTGCGTGTGGGCGCGTGGTCCTCGGCGCGCACTCGCTGTGGCTGTGGGATGGGGACCAGGGGGAGACCCGGCCTCACATGGCAGAGGAGCTGGACAGGAAACGGCACCTCACCCCCCACCCCCTGGAAGGTTTATCGCGTTTGTTTTTCTCGTGGCCACGGGTGAGCAGCTCTTCTCGTCTCTCCCGGCGAGCCCAGCCTTCAGCCCTCCTTGCAGAGCCTGTCAGCTGGTCCCTGAGGATTTGGGGGGGAAATGTTTAGTTAATTAGGTGTCAGCACATCAGATGGTAGGCAAATGGGAGCGACTTTGTGTACAAGTCTGACGGGCGAAATCAGTTGCTGATTATGAGAAGGAAAATTTGGGCGAGAGAGAAAAACACACCTAAGGATTCTGTTTCTTCTGTCCCACGGACCAGTGTTTCTTCTGGTCAGAGGCCACCGTCTTGCTTCTTGGCTCAATCGGGGATTTTCATTGTGTGTGGGCAGTGCAAGCTTCACCTGCGGGGCATCTGGGTTTTGCTGCCTCTTCCTTCAGATCGCTGGGCCTGGCCAGTGTGGCCCAGTGGTTTGGCATCAACCTATGAACCAGGAGGTCATGGTTCAGTTCCCGGTCAGGGCGCATTCTTTTTAAGAGCAGACAAGACCTTTAATATATATCTGTGATTCACACACACACACACACACACACTAGAGGCCCGATGTATGAAGATTCATGCAAGAATGGGCCTTCCTTCCCCTGGCTGCCGGCATCACCTTCACTCCGGCCAGGAGCCGCCTTTCCGCCTTCACATGCTGCCCAGAGGCCCAAAGTGGCTGGGGCGTGCAGAACGCCTGCGTCGTCGCCCTGCCCCCACCCGCTCAGCACCTGCGTATGCAAATTAATCCATCATCATTGTTGGGTTAATTTGCATACTCACTCCTGATTGGCTGGTAGGCGTCACGAAGGTACAGTCAATTTGCATCT